TTTCTCAGAAATTAACTGATAAAGTTATTGTGGATTTTATAATTGATACAGTTCAGCCAATGTCCATGGTTGATAATCCATCATTTGTTATGATGATTAAAACTTTATCACCTGGTACAACTATTTTATGTCGCCAGACACTTGTGAATAAAATAGCAAATAAGTTTAAAGTGATGAAAGATGCTTTAATAGTAGAATTATCAGAGATATCTCATATATGTACCACGGCTGATAGTTGGACACAACAATGTATATAAGATTAAATAATCTCTTGCCCTCAAGTTCTAGTGTCGAGAGATTATTTAGTAAGGCAAAACTGATACTTTCTGATCGTCGCTCTAGACTTGGGGATGATAATATTGAAATGATTTTATTATTAAAATTCAACAAATTACCATAAATATTTAAAATTTATTACATAAATTTTTTTATAATCAAAATTAACTATATTTGAATATTTATAAATGTTGATTTTATATTATTTAAATTTACTATACATTAACATTATATGCAAAATAAAAAAAAAAATTGTTTCTAAATTTTTTTTATAAAAAGTAGCCAAAGCTACTTTTTAAAAATAGTAGCTAATAGCGAGCTACTTTTTTTGACAAATAGCGATAGAGGTAGCGCGCTAATTTATTTGACAAATAGCGATAGCGGTAGCGCTACTTTTAAAATTAACGATCAACAACTCTGATAATTAGTAAGCCATTATTATTAATTTCATCGTAATCTCTTAAATACTTAGTAAACCTGGTGGATAAAATTATTATTTATTTCATTGGTTATTGTTACAATACGTTTAATTATAAATTTGTATAATTTGTGATTTTGTTATCGCCGGGGGGGGGGGGCTAATGGGTTAGATGTATGCTTAGAAACAGAAGGACGCAGGTTCAATTCTGGTAAGGAGCATAAAAACTTTCAAGTTTTTATTCAATGACTGATGTGTAAAGCCATATGGTAAGATGAATTTCGGAGCTTAGAGATGACACCCCGGTCACCGACAGACCTGGACAGCCGGGTGCTAAGGATACCTGTCCAATAAACAAAATGAAGGAAACAAATGAAAATATGAATATGAAAGCTAGGGTGTTCCCTCCAAGCGACGCGCAGGGTGTAGACCTCCATCCTGTGAAAAGTAAAGTAAAGGTCAAAGCAAAGAAGACAAGATTAGCAAGTTTGAATATTGGGACGCTTAAAGGTAAGACGAGAGAATTGGCATCAATGTTGAACAAGAGAGAAGTTGATATAGCGTGCATACAAGAGACGAAATGGAAGGGACAGAAGCCTTTGATGATTGGAGATGGGTATAAATTGTACTATAATGGAATTGTTAGCAATAGGAACGGTGTCGGCATCATCCTCAGTCAAGATCTAACCTCCTCAGTAGTAAAAGTCAACAGGATCTCTGATAGACTAATGAAGATAAAACTCTGCATTATACTACACATCCTTTCAGTATATGCTCCTCAAAAGAGTTGCAAGGAAGAAGAGAAAGATGACTTTACAGCTATCCTTGATGAAGCTGTACATAATTGGTGGTGACTTAAATGCGCATGTGGGGAAAGCAAGAGATAGCTACAAAAGGAATCATGGTGATTTTGGATATGGAGAAAAAAATGATCAAGGAGAGCATGTACTGAAATTTGCGCAAGCCTTCGACCTTACCTTAACCAACATCTACTATAGGAAAAAAGACAGTCAATCTAATAACATATGAAAGTGGTACAAGGAAAACACAGATAGATTACATGCTAATCTCTCGCAGAAGATTAAAAGATGTAATAGACTGCAAAGTCATTCCAGAAGAAGATATAGCCGCGCAACACAAGCTACTAGTCATAATACATCTCAAATAAATCCACTCAAAACAAGATAAAACTGGAACCATGCATCAAATGGGGCAAATTAAAAACAATGACAGATGCCTTTGCGATCAATGCAAACATTGAAACAATAGATTCCTCATAAGTCAGTGAAAAAGGCTTGACAAGGGGAGGTAACAAATCATACAAAGAACTATGGTGGTGGAATGTCAAAACCTTGTACAACCAATAACAGAACAAGAAATAATCACATGCTTCAAGCATATGAAAAACAACAAAACTAAGGGTCCAGACGATATTCCAATAGAAAGCCTTAAAACACTAAGAGATGATGGAATACATCTCACAAATCTATATAAAATACTTGGAAATGAAGTGGTTCCCCAAAAATGGAGGCAGAGCTATCTAGTTCCTATCTTCAAAAAAAAGATTGTCAAAATTACAGGGGCATAAAACTAATGTCACACTGTCTAAAACTATACGAAAAAATAATAGAAATCGAAATAGGAGAGACTCAGTTTGGCTTTATGCCTGGAAGATCAACAACTGATGCTATCCACGCAATTAGGCAAATGAGTGAAAAATACAGGGAAAAGAACAAAAAGCTACATATGGTCTTTCTCGATCTAGAAAAGGCCTTCGATAGAATCCCAAGAAAACTTATCTGGTGGGCGCTACGCCACAAAAAGGTTCCCGAAAAATATATAAGAATAATACAGGATATATATATGGGCCATAAAACAATGGTCATCATCAAGGGTCGGTTCTCAGCCCACTTATCTTCAGATTACTGAGTTGGATAAATATCCTAGAAAAGCACGGACTAAAAGTAAATAGAGAAAAGATGGAGAATATGGTGATAGGAGGAGATGAAACAGAGAGTATTGATATAAATGAATGGCAGATATCGGCAATTGAAAGCTGCAATGGGCTCCACTATACAAACAAACAGCACAATAGAAAAAGAGACAAAGAGTAAAATTAATCAAGGGTAGTTAAAGTGGAGATCTTTATCTGGAGTGCTATTTGACAAAAGAATCCCACACAAATCAAAGGGAAAAATTTACAGTTCCATAGTACAACCAACTATTCTATATAGTTCGGAAACATGGCCAACCAAAGAATCAGACGAGAGAAGTCTACAAAGTATGAAGATGAGAATGCTGAGGATGATTGCTGGGGTAACAAGAAAGGATAAAGTGCACAGTACAAGAATACTAAGTAATTTAAAGGTAGTGCCCATTAAGACTAAACGGTAAACAGACTTAGGTGGTATGGGCACACAATGAGAATGCCTATGAACTACATAGGAAATAAGGCTGTGAGTTTGGAAGTGATGGGCAAACGTAAAAGAGGAAGGCCAAAACTTCAATGGGGCCATAAAGTTAGAGCCAATATAAAGAAGTATAAATTAGATAAAAGAGATTGTATGAATAACATAAAGTGGAGAGAGATGTTGAAGGAGCTTACCACCAGAAAAGGTGAAAGCTTAAGAGAAAAAATAAAATAAATCGTGATTTTGTTATTTTAAATGCCTAAAGTATCACTTTGTATTAATCTAGATTGTTTTTAGACATATATAATATAGATCAACGATTATAAAAAAGACAACAATTTTGTTCAATAAAATATAACTTTCTTATATCGATAACTTTTTAACAATTACCACATTAAAATGATGAATAAAAGACGCCGGATTGGTTATTTGAAAAAAACATATACATATAACACTCCCGCCAGGTTTTAAATATTATGATTGGCTTAAAAATACGAGTATATACAATCGATAAAAAACCTATAATAGGACAGGATTTTATTTTCTTACCCATTTTGACGAAGTCTTTGTTTTATTTTGGATAATATTTATTTTTTAAACTAATTATGTTAATAATAAAAATTGACTTGACCCTATATAGTGGATTGCTCATAAAATAATAAAAGCTATATATAATCTGACTTGTATCAAATTCTGTGTGCCATTTTATTTTAGGTCCTCAACCACCCCCGTCCATCATGGTTAAAGCTACTCCCCATAATATGAACCCTGAGCTAGCCTGCGCGCTAAATCTGATGCCTGCCCTCATCCCCACCCCTTACTCTCAATGGCACTAGAATTTTGCGATTAAAACTTTAACTTTTTTATTTATGACTTTAAATTTAGTTTTAATAATTTTAATACGTGTTTGTTAAATTTTTATAATTATGTATCGTAGTATATAAATAAGGACAATGAATTCTTTTTAAAATGGTTTTCAATGGGCATTATAATTTGGTTTTTAATTAGTTCTATTTCCGTTTCTTAATTTTATTTAATCCAATGGTTCAACTTTTTATAGTAGTAACACCGTCAATAAAATATAGGCCAAGCCCATGATCCGAAAAAATATTAATGTTATATTTCCTTTATATTCCTTGTTTTTTGTAAAAAATGTTTAAAAAATCAGAAGAAAATATTTCATATACATGAATATTTAAACTAAATATTATATAACATTAAAGTAGAGAATAAAATATTTTGAGTTTGAGATTTTTCCCATATATGATTACATAAAAATTCAATGTGACACAGGCCAGGTCTCGTTCTAAAAAATGCGGGAAGGTTCGAGTCAAAATAATCGATCTGTTTCTTATTATCAATGGTAGTGCCTGTATCGGCTAAAAAATTCTGTGTATCTCTATAGTTTATCCTCAAAGGTTATATCACGATAAGAAACTTATATGAAAATAAAAAACATTTTAGTTTAGAGTAGGTGGGATTCTAACTTGGAAGACATAGAATGCAAACATATCCCTTTTTTAAATACATTTAAAAAATAGGACTAATAATAACCAGTCTCTTTATTAAGGGCCATGCTATGGGGAGATGTTTTTCCCAAGGAACCAATATAGTCTTTGTGTTTCAGTTTAGACCATCCACAGTTCGGACCTTAACTAATCACTGGGTCATATATTTTTTCCTTTATTAGAGCAATTCCATTACCAAATTTTATTATAAAATTGCATCTTTTTGGGTATCAACATCTTCCCAATATATTAGTTTGGTGACTTAGATTGGTTTACCTTAGTTGGTAATTATTTATACTTCTTATGAGCTTTGTTTTTGAAAAGAAATACGATATATTCAAACAACTTAAAAATATCATACCTTTTTTCAGACATATAAAAAAATACTTTTTGCCAAGATTGAATGGACTTAGGATTTATTTCCGTCATATTTGCAGTGAAGCCATTATAATTTCCGGAATATTGATTTACTCTATAATTATTGGTATTGCTTGAGTTGTTAACAGATGGGTGGTAGTTGTTAATATTATTTATTATAAAAGGTTGATTCATCATGCAGATATTTCTCATATTGTTCTGGATCCCGTAATAGGCATTAGACGAAAAATGACCTCTTATACCATCATAGTGTACATCGCCATTATGGTCATAACCTGCCTGAATATTTTGACTGCTAGAGCTAGGATCGTATAGATAATAACCACCTTTGACGTACCTGCCTGGATCATTGTAATCTGCATAGTGCTTATTGGAACTTGATCTCTGAAGGTTCGTTTTGATGGGCTCGCAAGTTGTGTGGCGCTGGCTTTTAATTTTCTTGTGCTTTTTACTAGATTCCTTGGCTAGAGCCCCATATTTTCTAATCTTGGCATGATGGGTCCAATTTTGTAAAATGGGTATTATCTTGACTTTTTCAGAGGGGCCATGATTATATGATTTAGAATGATTCATATTGTATGATGTAGCTGGGTTTTCGTCATTCTCGGAATTTTTTGATCCCGGATTATTCGCGATGTTCAATTTATTAAATACATGATCCATATCGTTTACCCGGTTTAAATTGCTGGATGGAAGATCGATCATGCCCACATCAGGGCAAGGGCTAAGTAGTGTTTCATCTGATTCAGGAGTGACTAGAGAGCTTTCAGTGATATTGAGATTCGATGCCAAATCTATGATAGTCCTGATCAGTCGAAGAAGGGAAGTTTCTGGTATTATGGATGAAAACAGTTTTGTAAATTATTGCATAAAATTATAAAATGTTGGTACAAAACTCTTGCACTTTTAAAATCATTGTTGAAACTAACTACAAAATTAATATGTGTTTAAAAAAAATTGAACCCAAGAAGAGATTTCATGTTATATAGTTAACTAAAGTATCATAAATTTAAAATAAAGAAAATATATATAAGTAAATATTTTGATTTAAAAACATAATTTTTAAAAAATCTTATTCCCAATATCAGGGCTTCAAACTGAACCTTTTTGAGAACCTAAATCTAAACCAATTTATCAAAACTAGACTTACAAAAAAACGAATAGAATCGAATAATAATATTATTCGTATTCGATTCGAAGCTATTCGTATTCGTACGAATCGAATAATTTATTAATCGTATTCATACAATAAAATCATTATTCGATTCGATTCGAAAATTTTTCTAAAGCTTATAAAAAATATATAATTTTTAGCAAAAAAAATTATAAACAGATGTAATGTTTTAAGATGACACTGAATCGAATAATTTATTAATCGTATTCATACAATAAAATCATTATTCGATTCGATTCGAAAATTTTTCTAAAGCTTATAAAAAATGTATAATTTTTAGCAAAAAAAATTATAAACAGATGTAATGTTTTAAGATGACACTTTTTAGGATTCTCTAAACTAATTGTCATTAGCATATAAAAATTTACAGAAAATAAACGATATAAAACCCAATGATTTCATATACGATTTTTAGAATTAGAATTGCTTATAAAAAATATTTAAATTATTTCTTCAATCTAATCAATTTATTAAATTTTCTAAAAATGTACAATAATCTCATTTTATAAACATCAAAATATAATACACAAAAAATATAATTATGCTAGATCCGAATTTGATAACCAGTTTTTTAACCATAAAATCTTTCTAATAGTTTCCTCCTTCAAAGACATTCTATTTTTCATTATCTGAGAACAACGGCTCACAAGAAGCCGAAGATCCCTGAATTGACAATATATCAGTTGCCATTTTCGATAACACAGGAAAACGATCCCCATGCAATCTCCACCATTCTAGCGGACTTTTATTAGAACTGATTCTTAATTCATTAAGATATGTTTCCACCTCACATATTGATGAGATGTTATTTTGTTTGAAAATTTTATCCATGTTCTACTGTACTATTGCGCTAACTGATGTTGTATTGATATTATACTTCACTTAGTCTTCATTATATACATCCTTAAATTTTTCTAATAGAGTTGTTGTATCTATGTTATATGATGTTGGTAGTTGTTCCAAAAATTCCATTTTTAGTTTAGAATTTAATATTGTTGATATTATAGTATGAATATTTGTTAAGTTATAATAATTTTCTATTTTCTCAATCGCACGAGATCAAATGAATTTGGCTGTTCGATTAACGACTTGCAGTGGACCCTACAACGAGGGGTGGGGGAGTGGGTCCGAAGCAACTGCTTCAAAAAATTTGAGAGGGGGTACAAAAAAAAATTTTTTTTTAAATTTTTTATTTTAATATTTTTTTTTAAACATCCATCCATAACCAATTGATTTCTGGTTTATGTATGTAATAATAAGATCCCCCCCCCCTTATTATTTAATTTAATATGTATTGACGGAAATTTTAGATTGATGTTTAGTAAATTAGGTTGTTATCCAAAAATATTAACCAAAAAAATAAAATGTGTTAGAAGAAAATATAATATCTAACTCTTTTAATGATCACTAAATTTAATAGTAATATTATTGTGCATGAATCTTCACAGGCACATATGATGGCCGATTATGGAAGGCTTTCACACAACAAAAATTCCATATTACAATTTATAATACCCCAGAAAAAATGTGTGAATAATAACCGTTCTATCATAAGAATATTTATAAGATGTCTAGGTTATTTATTATCTCGTAACCAAGCCTTCTGGGGAAACAGGCAACAATAAGGCAATATGATGAGCCTTATTAAACTCATTGCAGATTCTGAACCTGTACTGAGAGAAAACAAAATAAGGGATTAAAAACGAAATTATATTCAAATCTATTATTATATAATAACATAAATATTCTCATTGAAACCATGAATATGGTTATAAAAAAAATTTAAAATGAGATTGAAATTAACAGGTGCTTTTCAATCATAGTTGATGGCACATTTGATATTTCGAAATCAGAAGCAATAGCTTTGATAGTAAGATATGTTAAAATTAGTGAGACTCCTAAGCCCATTGAAGGACTGATAGACATATATTGTATGGGAAATACAACTGGTCTCGATATTAAAAAGAATATAATATCCAAACTTGGCTTCATGAATTTACCTCTTGAATTCCGTCTCAAACATGAGTGGAAGAATCAATGAAGTGCAGGCTTTGATTAGAGCGGAGGCGCCAAAGGCAGCTTTTATTTGGTCCTATTGTCATCGATTAAATTAAATCATTGTTAAATTATGTCAATCAATAAATGAATTGCGAAATGTTTTTGAATATTAGACGAGATTATATATATTTTAATGGTGTTAAAAGATATGAGGTGCTCAAAGCATGTTAGAGTAATGCACTGACAAAATAGTAACGATTTCTACGCATCAAGAATACCACTCGGTAATATTATCTTATTTGTTTAGATAGAAGCTGGCTATAGTCTTATAAAGCTATTGTAAATTTTTTCTACTTTATGATGCCTTGAAGGCAGCTTTAACAAATTTAAAAAATTCTGAAGATACTGCCACTTCCACTATGGCTAGTGCTATAGTCTCTAAAATAAAATTTTATTTTATTTTATCACTTTGTGTTTTGGATAAAATATTGTTGATAACAAGTTTGGCTTGTACAAAATTTCAAACCATTTCGAAGGATATAAGGTTTGCAATAAATCAAATTCAATTGACAAGAGATTGCCTGATTAATTTGAGAAGTATAATTTTAATTATTGTCTTTAATTATTTTTTAATCCTAATAGATAATAACACTGAATTTTTGGATGTTTTTTTAAAGCACAGTATTTTATGAAGGAGAGAAATCTAATTTTATCATTGAAAAAAAATTAGTTAAACAACTTCATGTTTAGGTCTAATATTATATTTTCTAGCGGGCCTGGATTTTAAAAAATTTTTCTTAACGGGCTTGGGCTTGGTTTGAGCCTAAAATTATTAAATTTAGATTATTTAAAACAGTTGCTAATTTAAAGAAATATTGCCTTTTTTTCTTCTAATAATAATATATTTCAGTATTGTAAATAAAATGATTGCCTATATATTTAAATATTGTTTATTTTCATTAAATAAAAAAAAATTAAACTTTTGGATATGGGTTTGGCCGGGTTTGGGAAATTTTTTTGAAACTTATCATGGGCTTGGGCTGGGCTCGGAGTTTTTTTTAACATTAGATAAAGGCCGGACCGGGCTTGGGCCTAAAAAAATTTTTTTACTGAGGGCCTGGGTAAGGTGTCAAAAAATTAAGGCCCATGAAGGTCTCTGCAATAAATATTGATATAATTATAAATTCTTTCGCTTTCTCTTCCCCCAATTTACCTAAATTATTAATTTAAATATAATTTTTTTTTACATTTTATTTATATTATATATTAAAGATGCAATAAAAATTATTGTTAAAATTTATGGGTGTCAAAAAATAATTGGCCATTTTTTCGAGATGGGGGGAGGGGGACTTTCCAAGGGGGTATTCTGCTTCCATCCCTAAAAGTGTAGGGGCCATTGACGACTTGTTCATAACACCAAAAATTATTAAAAAGAAACCATATAAAATAAAATAATTAAATTTTAGTTTACTTTGTTGGGACGTTTCCCTTTTTATAACTTTATCAGAAAATATAAATTATGTATGATTTGGTAAGAAATAAAATAAAATAAAACGAAATGATATCCAAAGAAAATTTAATTACTTCATTTTAATTATACTTACAATAAAATATTTACGAAAAATTAAGAATATTTATAAATAAATATTTCGAATAATATGAATAGCACAATTATTCGATTCGGAATATTTCGAATAACAAATAATTCGTTTTAGGCCTTTCAAAACTAGAACAAAGAGCTTATGAGATACCCAAGTCTATTCTTAAACAAGAGTTTCTCATAAACCTAACAAAACAAAGAATGAGGTAATTAGCTCTCTATTAAATTGGTAACTTTAAATGATAAGCTAATTAAGGGAAATTCTGAATTCAATTCTTAATGCCAATTGAGAATAGAATTGTATAAAAGATGAAAATTATAAGAGTTTTTTTAGTCACTCTTTCTCTCCTACTTTGCCCCTTAAGCCATATATTTATTTAATTTCCTCGGTACGTAAAATTTAAAATTTTTTGGAAAATATTAATAATTTTTGAAAGAAACAAAATAACGAATACATTTTTTAGTGTAAAATATCCTCACTTCAGAGTTGTTAACATCTTTTTTTAAAAAAGGAGGTCAGCTAGCGCTCCTACCATTTAAAAAGGAGCTAGCTCCCGATCCAGAGTTTATAAAAGAAGTGTGTTCCCGCTCCAACTTTAAAAAAAAGAGCACCGCTTCTTTGATTTTATATTCAAATTATAAAGTATATAAAACAACATTGTTTTATCTATATATATTCATATCAAAAAAAATTAATTATGCAGCAAAAATTTTTTTAATCTTTTGCTTTTAAAAGTAGCAAATTCTAAATTTGAATCTGACAGGCAGCTACCCCTCTCGCCTAAAACCTATTACGCAATATGAAACATACATTCAACAAAAGCACTAGAGGAATAGGAGGGTATTGTATTTTATAAATAATTCTTTAAATTGTTATAATTAGTGTTGCGTAATCGGCTAATTTTAGACGACTACAAAACGGCTTAGCCGAGATTTTAGGTGGAAAAATCGGCTAAGCCTAATTAGGTAAAGCCTAAAAATCGGCTAAGCCTAATTAGGTAAAGCCTAAAAATCGGCTAAACCTAATTAGGCTAAGCCTAAAAACAGGCTAAACCTAA